CTCCAATCTCGATTCTCCAACATCGGCAGTTCAAGCTAAGTAACCTGCTCTAGTTTCTGTGAAAGTGTTCTGACTTGAGCTATTTTTCAGTATGCAAATACCTGTTTACAAAACCAACCAGATTCCAGTTTTTGCACAACTTTAATAAGATGGTTGTGTTGTTCCTAGTATGTACTGCCTTAAAGCACAAAAATTGTCCCAAATTAAACATCAGACAGGCCAAAAGATGGCTAAGATGTCTTTAGCACTGGACCTGGACATCATTGATCCTTGCTCCTTCTCTGCCGAAACAAAAAGACATTTTCTAACACCTTCCAGCTCTGAAGTAGAGTTAGAATCAGACTCAAAATGTTAACCCTGTTTCTCTGTCCACAGATGCTGCCAGACATGTTAGGTTTATCCAGCACTTTGTTTCAAAAGATAGCTAGTGTAGAAAATGGTAAAAATCAGACTGCTACAAATGAACACTCCATGTTGGAGCTGGAGCTGGAGCTGAACAAATTTAATCATTGCACTGCAAGAACAAATTGAATTTGTTTGGTGCAGCCTGACTTCAGAATGCACATAATAGATATTAGGGCCTAAAAATATTCCACTTGTCTTTAAAATGCTCCACTTGACAGCAGAAATGGACAGAATCACTATCAAACAGCCTCGAATTTTCTTTTGAAAATATTAGATAGTACATACTCAGAGAATTCACCACAGATCCAGGCAGCAGCATACAGAACTTCACAGATACCATTTCTTTGCATGTTGCCAGCAAGCAGATGGCCGTTATCCAACAGCATAGCCATCTGTGACACAGCGAATGCCCTAATAGCCTTCACACGGATAGCTACATCAAGCATTTGTGCTGCAATTAGATGGCCATGTCGTGTTCCCTCCAGTCGTGTCAGTTCCACCAGGATGCTAATATACCTGTGTTTAAAATAAGCACATCAGAAGTCTGGGAACTAAATGTGACCCGATAATTTGACTAACATTTGCTAAACTTTAAGGCAGTTGAATTACTTTGAATAAAGTATAAAACTTTGATGGAATTCAGCTTGGAGACAAACAATGCAATTTTTTTCATCAAACAGTCACTACTGAGAACTTACCATTCAAAATTGGTGATATACTGATAGTTGGACTGACTGCATATGTCAATGATTTTTGTCAGGAGCTCATCTCGGTACGTTGTGCCTTCTGCTTTATCCACGTGAATCATTAATTTCTTTACTATCTCCATCAAGTTCTTCTTTGAAACCTAGCAATATTTAAGTCCATAAGAAAATTAAGTTTACACAGAGGGTGGTGGGTGCCTGGAACTTGCTGCCGGGGAGATAGTGGAAGCAGATATTAGTGACTTTTAAAGGGTGTCTTGACAAATACATGAATAGGATAGGAATAGAGGGGTACGGTCCCTAAAAAAGGGTAAGGGGGTTTTAGATGTGATGAGAAGCACTTCGGCGCAGGCTTGGAGGGCTGAAGGGCCTGTTCCCACGCTGTAATTTTCTTTGTTCTTTATTATAGCTACAATAGCTAAACCTCAGGCGTAAGGCGTTTGATAAGGTTCCCCATGGTAAGCTCACGCAGAAGGTAAGGAGGCATGGGATAGGGGGAAGTGTGGCAGATTGGATTCAGAATTGGCTGACCCTTAGAAAACAAAGGGTGGTAGTGGCTGAAAATATTCAACATGGTGCTCAGTTACGTGTGGTGTACCGCAAGGATCTGTTCTGGGTCCTCTTCTATTTGTGATTTTTGTAAATGATTTGGATGAAGGAGTGGAAGGGTGGATTAGTAAGTTCACGGATGATACGAAGGTGGGTCACGTTGTGGACAATGCAGAGGGCTGTTCTAGGTTACAAAGGGACATTGATAGAATGCAGAGCTGGGTTGGGAAGTGGCAGATGGAGTTTAACCCCGAAAAGCGTGAGGTGATTCATTTTGGAAGGACAAACTTGAAAGCAGAATACAGGGTTAACGGAAAGATTCTTGGCAGTGTGGAGGAGCAGAGGGATCTTGGGGTTCATGTTCACAGTTCCCTGAGAGCTGCCACCCAGGTGGATAGAGTTGTTAAGAAGGCGTATGGTGTGTTAGCTTTCATTAATAGAGGGATTGAGTTCAAGAGCCGTGAATTTATGCTCCAGCTGTACAAAAGCCTGGTTCGGCCACATCTGGAGTATTGTGTCCAGTTCTGGTCGCCTCATTACAGGAAAGATGGGGAAACGTTAGAAAAGGAGCAGAGGAGATTTACCAGGATGTTGCTCGGAATGGAGGGAAGGTCTTACAAGGTAAGGTTGAGGGGGCTAGGGCTTTTCTCTTTAGAACGATGAAGGATGAGAGGTGACTTGATAGAGGTGTACAAAACAATCAGAGGTATAGATAGACAGCAAGAGACTTTTTCCTAGGGTGGAGGTAGCTTTTACGAGGGGACATAGTTTTAAAGTAAAAGGAGATAGATATCAGGAAGACGTCAGAGGTATGTTCTTTACTCAGAGCGTGGAATGCATTGCCGGAGAGGGTAGTGGAGTCGGCCTCATTAGGGGCATTTAAGCGGCTATTAGATAGGCATATGGATGATAGTATAAGGTAGCGGTGGAGGTTAGATAGACCTTAGGTTTCGGGTAAAAGTTCGGCACAACATCGTGGGCTGAAGGGCCTGTACTGTGCTGTACTGTTCTATGTTATGTTCTCAGTGGTTTCCCAATATCTTTAAATGATTACAGACTGTAGTTCTGATATTAAGGCACAACAGATAAAAGCTTACTGACGCCTTCAGAAGTGGGGTGCTTAGTTATACTTTTTGTGCAATTTTTTTCCTAAATATTAAATACCATTGAAATCAACTCATGTTAAACAAATATGAAATCATGAATGTAGATCATTTATAACATGGGAGAAAGTAAATTTGTTTTTAAAAGATGGATCTGCAAAATTTACAGGCAAACACTTGAAAATGCATGAAGAATAAACTTTTACTGGATCAAATATAAAAAAAGGGATATTACACAATTAGAAAACAGGAAATGACAATTCAGTTAATAAATTTTGTTGCAAATAATGCTTTTATCATTTGTAGTGGTAACATTTGATCAGCATAATGATATTTCACTTTAAGTTGCACTTTTCAGGAATGCAACTGCAAAAGAGTAAGGAATTACTAGTCATGATTCTATTGCTCCCATTTACACTCTTCTAAACCCATTTTATTTTACTTGCCCCATTAGCAACTCCTTTTCCAATTTAATCTCTATCTTTTGTCTCATCACTAACTTTCCTTCTTGTTACTCACTCAACCTTGGCCAGGCTTAAAATCAGTTATATTTTTCAACACTATCCAATTCTAATGCAAAGTCATTTATTTGCCTCATTGATGTTTTTGCCATGCAAGTATATCCAGCACTACTTCTTTTAATTTCAGATTTCCACCATTCCAAGTGTTTAGCTTTGGTGCAAGTGAAATCTTCATTTGATTCACCAATAGTCACACATCTAGTCAGTAAAAGATAATATTAAAATTACCATTCCATACAGAAGATCTAAAGCACGGAGTCGTATAGATTCATCTTTGTCATCCAAGCACTGTAAAATAAGATCCTTGTGGGACTGTACAGATTTAGGGTGAGTCTTCAAAATTTTTGACATGGCCAGCAGACCCAGGTACTTCACTGCAAGACAGTTCAGAATCTTTAACCATTGGACAGAACAATTACCACAAACAGATACTTGTAAAAAAATAATGTTATCTACAAAATAACCAGGTTTTGAAACTTACTGAAGTTCAGAAATTGGAAGCTCTTTCTAAAAAGCATTAGACTTGTGTTAAGACAGTGGTTCTCTTACTGGGGTCTACGAAATAATCTCTAGCTGGCCTCAAACAAAAGTAGCTTCCCATTTGTTGGGTTTCTGAAACTATCAACCATCTGACCTGGTTATTGTTTAGGAAGGGAAAAAAGTGGAGATGCTCATAACGTCAATGACCCATTTTAAAAACAGAGTACGGAAAATTCATTAATCTTAAATTACACGAGAATGTCTTGTTTATATTTACTAAGTAAAAATTCCACGAACATACACACAATTTGGTATTTGTGTTTTCTTAAGAAAATAAAGATCAATACATACAGAATGGAATGTTATGACAAACATGCATGATCCAATAAAGGAGATCACAAGAATGAAACAGGAGGTTTTGAGAATGTCTCAAAAGATCTTGCGAAAAAAAATGAATGATCCTTCATGGCAAAACATCCCATCTCTCAAGAAAAGCCCTGTGTGCTTCAACACCAAACTAGTAATGACTACTGCTCGACTAAGGTTTGACTTTGATGGTGAAGCTTCAGAGTTGCATAGTTTCAGCAGTCTTTTCAGCTCAGTTGAAGGAAACAGAATCACAAGGATTCAAAAGTAGAACACTTAAAAATCGCAAAATGGAAATAAAAAATTTAATGGCCCAACGTAAATACCCACTTACAGTTTTGATCAGAATCTTCAATAAGAATGCGCAATTTCTGTACACAAAGCTGAACAGAAAAACATGTGTCAAGTTTTAGAGTGATTGGTGGCATATCAATAATTTGGAAATATCAATGCAACAAAACATACAAGACCAGGATCTAAAGAATTAAGTTCACGACAAGGCAACGTAATCCACTAAGCAGGACATTACACTTGTGTACTGTAAGTTGAAATTTGCATCAAATAACAAGCCCTTAAGGTTTTCCAAAGAACTTGAACATTTGAGTGCTAACATGATTCCAATGTAAAAATCATTAAAGGAATAGTTAAATTAACTTATTCAATTGGTCTAAAATTTAAAATTCAAAATTCAAACTCCATTTTAAATGCTCCAAGTTGAAAGGCAGCGGAGGAAGCAAGCTTCAAATTAAAAATTATGTAGAATTAACAAAGTATTTGTTTAAAAATTACATACATGCACTAATAGTCATAAAGTCACACAGCATATGTACAAAATGTATTTTAGCAGGGGTTCTTTTTGTTTGATAGCAAATGTTACCTGGATGCTTGCACTGTGATTTGGCATTCCAGTAGATAGAGAGATGAGAACTATAGAAAAAACATGAGTCTGAATCTAGCAACAATTTATTTTCACAAAAGCACTGAGTTCAATAGCCCAGTGAAATAGATTTTAATGCTTTATACTTGGAAGAGGCATTGAGCCAAGATAGCTGCCATTTACATGTATTGACAATGTAACATTTAAAGATTAATGTCACAACACAAAAGTGCACAAATTTAAACTATGAACCTTAAGGGTGCCAAAAGCACTACAAAACAAACTTTATCCTGCAGCTGATTCAATGACAATTCTTTTCAACTGCCTTTCCCCCCAAAGTTCCAATTCTGTTTTTATATATTTATCCACTTCACTCCTAAAACCTGTATCAGGCTATGCTTCAATTACATTCTGTGTCCTAACACCATGATGTGCAGCCATATTTTAAGCTCTACCCCATATTCTTAAACTAATTCACTTAGTTGTGCCTACTAGTTCCAGACTTTTGTTCTCCACTCTTTTTGAGTCATTGCTTCAATGCCCTTCAAAAAGTGTTGAAAACTGTGGTTTTAACTGATGACTAATTGTGGTTTAACCAAATGATTTACTTTGGCAGGGTTTATTTAGTTGCTTGCAACGTCAAACAGAAGAATCTAATATGATCCCACAGGGTGGCACTGGACCAAAGGTAGATGAGAAGCTGAATTGATGTCAAATAAGAAGCTAGTTTGTTAACAGTCTGGATTGACCCCACACATTAAAAAGGAGAGGAACTGGATAATTGGCACAACTATGCAATTCATGGTAGTGGCCAAAAAGTGGTTTTAAGTTCCACATTTTGTGCCCCTGGAGAAGGCTGTGCCTTAACTCAGACTGGCACTGTTACAAAAGGTAATGTAAAGGTTGAGAGGTGGCGAAAGGTAAACAATCTGTAGTTGACAATCTGTAGGTCTCTTTAGGTAATATGACCAAGCAGTACAAGAGGAGGCATGTCCAAAATTTGATTTTTGCTGAATCCTGAAGTGATGGTACAGAGATGGAAACAGAAGCTACTGGTGGAGATGCTCCATCTCCAATTAGATATCTGATAGCTGGACTGAAGATAGCTCCATGGAGATGGACAATGGGAGAAATTACTGACAGGAGAACAGTATTGTTCACACCAGTTTCAGATGACAGAGGGACTGAAAAGGTAAGGAAGAGAAATGTACTAATGTTCACAGGTTATGGACAACATTTGTGACTTTGATTCAAGTGCTTTCAGTGCTGTGGAACTGGCTAAAGTTCACACGATAAATCTACGCATGTTACAAGAATGTTAAGCATGAATTTAGTGGTAAAATAGCAATCAAAAATTTGAAACAAAAATGTTGGAGAGATGTACTTTTAAAAGACATATTTTGGGATCATTTGTCAGGATATGGGTGATAATGACATGGCTGATAAAGGTGCAAACATCCAAGGAGATAGGATCCTACTGTGTTAGCTGATAGAAGGGTGAGGATGGAAGTCAGCATATTCAGGAGCTGCAAAGAAATGGGATTAATGGCTGCGTGATGGCTCAGTGGTTAGCAGTGCTGCCTCACAGCATCAGGGACCAAGGTTCAATTCCAGCCTTGGGCAACATGCTTGTGTGGAGTTTGCACATTCTCCCCATGCTTGCATGGGTTTCCTTCATGTACTCCAGTTTCATTCTGCAGTCCAAAGATATGCAGGTTAGGTGGGTTAGCCATGGAAAATGCATGGTTGCAGGGATTGGGCAGGGTGTTAGTCTGGGTCGGATGCTCTTCGAAAAGTCGGTGCAGACTTGTTGGGCCAAATGGCCTATTTCTACGCTGGAGGGATTCTATTTAAAAAAGAGCAGGTTTTGCCAAAAACAAAAAGATATTTTGTGGGAACTACTTAATTGATATTTCTTTGTGAATTATTCTTATCAGTTCAAGATGGAAAGCTTGGATAAATTTTGCAGTTTTAAGCAATACTGAATATCTGCACAATCAAATCACTAACAGCAGGTTTCTTGGATTAGCAGTTAGAAAGTTCACAAATGAACACAGTGAAATAAGTGAAATACAGATTCAAAGCTAGGACAGGGAGCTCCTTGGAGGAGGTTTGACATGGTAGGCAGGGGAAAAATGGAGATGCAACACAGGCAGTTAAATAAACAGTGTATCTTACTGCTCATTAAAATTGGGCTTGCTGGAGTTCGGAGTGGAGGGATCAGGAAAATGGGTTTATGAACAAGGTTGAAAGAGGAGGATATAATTGATTTTGTATACTCATAAGATGCTCAAGCAGTATAATCATGGATGTAGACTAAATGTTTGCCAGTCTGTGCACTGCAAAATCTATGAATGGCCATGAAATGAATACACAGAAACTACTTGTGATGTTGGTTGAAGAATAATTGCTGGCAACAAAGTCCCCTGCTAGCCTTCAAATAATGCTAAGAGATCTGCGAAGTTCACCTGAAGAAACAGCAAGAATTTAGCCCCTTACATGAAAGGTAGCATTTCAAGCATTGTTTCTATCACTATACTGATTTAAAAATGCTTAAGTCTACAATTAGCATGTGAAAATGAACCAAGTTGATGCAGAATTCTGCAAATTATGATTTCACTTATGCTAATATCTCCTTGCAACCACATAACTGGAGGGAAACTAATAAGGAACTTCCAAAAAAATTAAAACCAACCAGATCAGTGATCTTTTGGAAATGATTATACCTATTCAGAAAAATCAGTATATCATGACTTATTTGTTCTAATTTGATTCAATTAACTTGCTTCATAAGTATTTTTCTGTTCAGGATAATACTCCCGAAATTTTATGCCTTCTTCATGAATGTTTGATTCCTCATTTCTTAATGATGTATTTACTTTATAAATTTAGTGTCTCTCCATGATTCATTGTTTTGATCATGATGCAGTATCTCAAATAATCAACTCAAATATTTTGTATATAGTCCATTTATCTCTTCAAGCCTGTCTGCAATGAGGTTGTAGCTAATCTGATAGTTCCATTGACTTGCTTTGGTTCCATATCTCCTGAAACCTTTAGATGACAGAAAATCAGTGGCATTTTGAAATTTATTTAAATTGATCAATTACTGTTTACTGAAGTTCTAATTTCCTACCACCTAAAATGCATACATACTAATGTCACTCCCAAAAGGACAAATTCTAACTTCTACACTAAACCTCCCCCAACAGAAGAAGAAGAAGTGTTTACAGACTATTCCCTTCAAAAATCTGGCAAACTAGAAATTAAAAATATAAACTCACCCTTGAAACTTGTTTCAACAAACACAACCCTATTTGTTGAATTTCTCCTTGTATAATTAACCCTTGGAGTCAAGTTTTCATTCTAGTCAACCCAATTACACTCCTTCTAAGGTCAACACAACTTTCCACAAGGTGTGGCATCCAGTAGGTTCGAACCAAAGCTTCGTATAGCTGGAGCATGGCTTCTACCATTTCAAATCAAGCTATATAGGCCAGCATTTCATTTGCCTTGTTCAAGTGGCCCAAAGATAATCATTTATGTACCCAGACTCCCCTTCCCCGATCACCACTAAACTGCTAATGGAACAACCTTTTACACTGAAAAATAACACACTTCAGATCAGTAGAGAAACCATTTGTTTACCTGCTATCACAGTGTTCACACATTCATACAAAAGGGACATGGCTGAGGTGCTGCAATGAAAAGAAATTATTTTGTTCACTTTATAAAAAAATTGGAAGATTTGACATCAGTTGTACTTTATACTAGTATTATGCATTTTTGCAGTATTCTTGTTGTATTCATACTATAATATCAACTACACAGAGGTGTCCAAAACCTTTTTTCAAACATCACTCAATTTCTCATTGTACATCCTGAAGGCCACACTTGAGACAGTTTGAGAGAGATTTTTTCTTTTCATACGACATGACAAGATTTGCCTTATCTGGGTCGATAGCCCTGAACAAATTTCTACAACTGGACTGGTAATTCACCCCTCCAATTTCAGTTCTTCCTTCTTCCATTTGCAGTTTCAAACAGGCCACATGTTATTCCCCTTACACTGTTTCCCTCCTCAGCTAAACATTACACATCATTGAAGTGCTGTCCCAAGTACAAGCAACTGAATGACAATATACACAATGGGTGGATATTCAGAGAGAGCACATATACAAATATTTATAACTGGTAACAAGCCACTGGTCATGCTCAGATGGAAATATTTTCTGCCTCTTCCCGTCTTTCCAGATGTATACCCTTTTCCTTCCATTTTCTGGGATATAAGATGAACTAATTTTAGAAAGTTAGTCTGGAAAGCAGAACCACGGGTTTCACCTTAGAAGGAGTGGGCAAGTACTCCTCCTTATGTAAACAGTGATTTTAAGTAGACAGATTAACAATACAGCTTCCCAGGCATAAATTGGTGACATTTTGCATTAATTCCTAAATGTGACAATGAAAGCAGCAGTGACTAATCATGACACACAAAAACTATACCTCTTTACTAGCCATATTGAATATGAAATTGAGTCTTGGAAACCTAGGGACTAGTAAAATGGATTTGCTGCTATCACAGGAGGAACAATTAAGAAAGAACCAGTAATTCTCTGCTGGCAAAGGGAAGGTGAATGAAGTTAGCTGAATAAGGTGAAGTTAAAATGCACTACAATAAAACATATGCAAACTGATTTATGGTAAATATGCTTCGAGTAAAATACAACTGGAAAATATTACATACGGAGTTTTATAAAAAATTAAAAGGCCATTCAAATCAGAAAATGGTGACTGTCACAAAGTAGTGGAATAATTTGTGCAAATCTTAACCTCAAATGAGACAACATCTGTATAGTATTAGGTTATTATGTTGCTTCTCCAAAGCCATATGAGGAACTCCAATTTTGTAGGATAGGCATGGTACTTCAGCAATTTTGTCAAATTCAAGCTACACTGTCCTTTCAGGAAATAATTCATTTAGAAATCTTTAGCTATCTTAATTGCAATACAACAGTTACCTTAAAATTCAGCACTCACTCTAATCATGGGACGGTGTTATATAAAAGCTGTATTATTGCTAGACTATTAATCCAACAACCTAACTAACATTCTGGGGACCTGGGTTCAACCTGCCATGGCAGATGGTTGAATTCAATAAAAATCTGGAATTAGGAGTCTAATGACCATGAAGCTCTTGTTATCTGTCAGAAAAACCCATCTGGATCACTTTTGTCCTTTAGGGAAGGAAATGTCATCCTTGCATGGTCTGCTCTACATTTGACTCCAGACACACAGCAATGTGGTTGAGTATTAATTGTCCTCTGAGCAATTAGGGATGGACAAGAAATGCTGGCCTGGCCAGATATGCCCACAATACAAGAGTGAATAAAAAAATCTGATTGAGAAATTATACTGTAGATTTAGTAACAGGTACAACAGTTTAAAGTTACTTATTAACATGTAGCAAGATCAGCAAACAAACCAAACAAAGCAACTTTCGCCTCAACACAATGAGACTTATAAACCTATCTGTACACAGTCAGAGCTGCTTTCATAACCAACAAAAGGGGGGAAATGCTGAGCATGAAATGCAACCACTCACCTGTGTATTAAATTAGTCAGTGGCTCAATGAGTTTTTTCCCCAGCCGTGGCTCAAGTGGGGTAAGGGCTCCAAACTGAAATTAAAAAGTAGGTCTCAGCACAAGATGACAAACTCACTAACTTCCAATACAATAAGCATATGAAATGCCACTTAAGACAATTTTTCCATCAAGTCTGCTCCGATAATCCTCAAATCCACTTTCCTGCCTTTTCCCCATGAACTATGATCCCCTGATTCATAGTCATAATGACACAGCACAGAAATAGACCCTTTGGTTCAATTTGTCTATGCCGACTAGATACCCCAAATAAATCTAGTCCCCACCTTTGCCAGCATTTGGCTCAGATCTCTCAAAACCCTTCATATTCATATACCCATCCAGATGCCTTTTTTAAATGTTGTAATTGTACCAGCCTCTCATTCCACACACGCACCACCCTTTCTCTTGCTTGAACATATTGAGTGACCCAACCTTGACAGCCTTCTGTGGCGAAGAATTCCATAGATTCATTACCCTCAGAAATTCCTCTTCACTTCCATTTGAAATGGACAACCTCTCACTCTGAAATGATGGCCTTGGGTTCTAGACTGTCCCACAAAGACTACCTCTCAACATCTCTCCAAGCCTGAAGATCGTCCTGCAGAAAGGTAATACCCGAAATGTTGACTGCTCCTTTTCTCCAAATGCTGCCTGGCTTGCTGCGTTCTTTCAGCCTCCTGTTTGTTTACCTTGGATTCCAGCATCAGCAGTCAACGTCCCTCATCAACTTCCCTCCAGCTGAGAACTGTTATCGAGTTGACTTTTGTTACAAGGGACTTATCCATGAGCTGCATCAAAAGCAGTTTTTACCTCAGCATTCCAATTTGACAGAGATCCCTTTGTATCCTTCTTCACAGTTCCCAATCCGCCTTACAAATTCCCCAACAAGCTCTTTGAAATACCATGAAATCAATTTGACAACTGTGTTTCAACCCAAAAAACCCATTTGCAACTGGTGATTATTCTGGGTGTGGAGCTATAACATGTTACATGTTAAAATCTGGATAGGAAAAATATTTTCAAAAGCATAGCATTTCTCTTTTTCTTCAAATTTATCAGGACTGAGATTAGACATAACTTTCTACAGTGCAATAATTACAATTATTCTAATCAAAGCCCTGCTCAGTGAATCCAAAGGTGAGTCAAATGCTCAAGTCTTATTCAACTGCTTGCAATGAACAGAAAATAAGTCAAATTTCCTGAAGCTGCCATGTTTTCAATATTACAACAGCAACAACACTCAATCTATTGACTGGAAAGCATTATAAAGGTATTCAGTCATCATGAAAGGCACATTAAACGTAAGGCTTTCTTGAAGGTTTACTCAATCTATGCTTGGATATAGAAATATCAGACATATCCTCTATGTATTCTACTAGGCTGAAACTAGTCTCAAACTTGCATCATCCCATGATTCTGGACTAACTAGATCTTGTAATGCAATTTGGCTAAATACCTTAACAATTATTTCCAAAAGTTTCAGGATCAATCAATATTAAGGTCAATTTTATAAAATTTTCAGTAAAACCAAACAGGTAACCCCCAACCTATGGAAATAATTAATGTATAATAAAAAATGAGAATAAAATAATTTCTGCTGCACTTAATTCTAATAGTATAACAAGTATAGCACACTTCTCATCTTAACAACAGATGAATATTTGGTATTTTACTGTAATCATAGAACTGACAATCTGGGAACTGGTTAGCTCAGTTGGCTGGACAGCAGGTTTGTAATACAGAGTGGTGCCAACAGTGTGGATTCAGTACCCACACTGGTGGAAGTTACCATAAAAGAAGTCTCCTTCATGAGTTTTCCCCTCAGGTGGTGACCCCTAGTTTAAACTACCACCAGTCGTGTCTCTCTCTAATTAAAGTGCAGCCCTATGTAGACATTAACCTTTACATTACACAATTCATTGTGAAGTTGAATACAGTAGTCTTAAGCAACACTTACATTTTCTTGTGGATCAAACCCACCACTTAACTGCCAAAACAGGATCAAATATTCATGATTCATAGCAATAAACAAACAGTCCTTTGTATCCTATGGGAAAAGCTCCAAGAATAAATAACAGTTTTCCCTATTTTCTATAGCTGACTGCCGAAGTTTCTTTTTCCCTAATAACAGTTCATTGATACTTACGAGTTTGATGATTTTAATGAGGACCCAATTATTAGTTGATGATGTCATTAGTTTGAAGAACAATGGAGCGAGGGAAAGATAATTCTTCGGATTGCGACGGGCAAGCTCACAGATAACATTCACGGCAGCAGACTGAACACCTGCAAGACAGGCAGTGTTAACAGTCGACACTGAACGACCATTTTTACCAACTTCAACCATGGTCAGTGCTGATCTGCATCCCCTTTAACGTCCCCTCTTGGAATATGTTCTAGCCCCGTGCTTGCTCATCAGTTTGTGGACTTGTGCAGCACTTCTCTTTTTTTAAATTTAGAACTGAAATAATTAAGTATCTCTTGAGGTGTTATAAAATGTGAGAGAGATACTAATACAATGCAAATTACCATTTCTGAATACCATAAACATCCAATTGAGAATGCAACTGAGAAACCAGAGAAACAACTTGTACACATGTAATACACTTCCATTCTTAATACAGTCGGTTCTGTTACAACACGATAGTTGTGTTCCTGCGCAACATTGTGTTACAGAAAATCACACTATAGAAATAACAGGGCCTATGGGAAAAGTGGGGTTAGGGGCAGGCCTCCAAAACAAAAAAAAAAATCACTCACTCAAAAGCCTAAACACAAAGGATTGTGCTGTTTGAATAAATGTTTTATTTCATTATTAGATAGGAATTAAAGTACATTTAACACCTTACCTTGAAAAAATGTCAAGGTGACTTGATGGGGGAGGTAGTTTTGAGGTTGCTCTGTTGTTAATACAGGGGCTGATGGTCGTCATCATGACCATCTTCAGGTGCAGTTGTGGTTGCACAGTTAGGGTGAAAAATAGTTAATCCAGAAGCAGATGGCTGTGGTTTATTGTCTTCTGACTGCTTCTTGGGGGTTGGCTTAAAAAAAAAGACACCCAGTTTTTGCTGCTTTACCCTTTTACTTCTTTCATGAAGAAGCTGTTCATAGGGTGCTAAGTAAGATCTTATTTCACAAACTGCTACCCTGCTTCGATCTGCACTGTAATCATTTTCCTCCAAGAGCTGCAACTCCTTCTCAAGTTCCCTCACGATAGAAGACAAAACAGAAGTGGAAAGGTCTCATGGTGTTGCATCCTGGACTACTACTACTTCATCTACAGCTTCCACTTCCCCCTCAGCAACAAGTTGTTACAAATCAGCTGTAGAGAAGTCTTCTCAGTGGGACTCCAGCAGTTCTTCAACATCCTCACTCTCCACTTATGCAAATCCAACTTGCTTTGCAAGATCAACACAATCTTGTTTGATTCTTGGGAGTTCCTCTGACAGATCAAAGCCTTTAAAAGCTTGAAAAAAAAAGTGGGAGAAGCTTCCACTAAACTGCGTGCAAGCAGTCCTTACTGACATCACCCCAGGCCTCCACAATAATGTCAACTGCATTCTTGATGTTAAAGCTTTTCCAAAATTTGAAGAACACTGTCCTTATCCCCAGCAGCGGCTGCAATCAGCCTCTTAAAATGTGCACCTTAAATAATAAGCTTTAAAACCTACTACTGCACCCTGGTCGATGGGCTGAAGGAGGTAGATTGTGTGTGGGGGTAGACATAGCACTTTGCTGTTTTCAGAAAGCGCACGAATGGTGGGAGGATGGTTTGGCGCATTATCCAGGATGAGGCGAATCTTGAAATCCAAGTTTTTTTTTCCTGCAATACTCTCTAAAAACATCTTCCAAAACATCAATAATAAAGTCAGAAAGAATCTGCCCCATCACCCAACCTCTTTTGCTTGGCCTAAAGTAGATGCCTTGAGTCGGCTTCAGGTAACCTTTTAAGGCTCGTAGCTTGGCAGAATGGTACACCACCACAGGCTTAAGCTTTAAGTCTCCATTGGCAGTGGCCCCAGCAGCACAGTCATACAACCCTTCACCACCTTAAAGCTTGGAGCGTGTGCTTCATTCATAAACATGCAGATTCTCAATGGCATTTGCTTCCAGTATAAACTTGTCTCGTCCAAACTGAAAATTTGATCTAAGTTGTAGCGTTCTTTGTCAATTTACTTTTTTTTTAAACTATGGAAAGAAATGCCATCGCATGCTCATCTGCACTAGCAGCTTTGCCACACAACTTCGTTATGAAGCATAGAGGTTCTTAAAACCAGCAACTGCTAGCACTAAATGCATGCACATCTGCAGGATTTTCAGCTTTTTCGTATGGTCTAGCTTCGATCTAGCTTTCTCTAATATGATGAGAAAGGTGGTTCCAGATCACTTTCATTTGATCTTCTATCCACACATTTTCAAGCCACTCCAGCTCAAGTTCCTTTGTCCATGATCTCTCAGATTTGCTAGCACTCAGACTTGCTCCAACAATAAAGCTTGCTTTAATCTTTTCTGCTTGGTCTCCGATGGCATAGACTCCTTTATTCCTGTTGCGCAAACTATATCACATGTTCACTCATCACACTCATATATAACATCTCGTTTCTCTTCCAGTTTTATAACCTTTTCACATTCACCACCCTGCAGTTTTATTACCAGGATGCTTCTTGCTAACATTCTCGCCACTTTGTCCACACATTTTTGTGGGTAACACAGCAAAACTTGCAAAAAATGAAAATCATGGAGTACTGTGCCTCTCACAGAAAGCAATTTACAACAAAGTGTGTGAAATGATCATGTGATATTGACATACTCCTCCATGCACTGATGGAATCGCATTAAAGCCACGCAAGCTCGTGTTTTAGAAATAGCATTCCCCTATTCATCAGTCCCATTATAGCTGGAACATGCGCTACAGCAGAACCGACTGTAAAGGCTAATTTGGGAACTAAACTAAAATAGAATCAGTACATTCCTTAAGAGATATACTCAAATTTGTCTTCTCTAGCATATTAATGAAGTGGCAATTGATATAATTAAATTCCCAACTATTATCTTAAGAAATGCTAAGTTCTTTAGTACAGTTGTACAGCTATGGAGTTCTTTATTTATACAACATAAAGTACTGCTACATAGTGGGAAAGTCTTAAAAACTTTAGAAGAGCTGTTCTGTGTTTGCATGCCACGAAACAGATAACTCACCAGAATCAGGATCCTCCAGCTTTTCCTTAAGGCGAGGGAAGGCAGGTCGTAGGGATTCTGGGTATTTAAGGAATACCTTGTACATAATAAGCACAGCTTTCTTTCTAATATAAGGCTTTGTATGAGACATCTGTGGACCAGAAGTCATGCATGTTGTTAGTGAACTAAGAGATCCAACAAGGAATTCCTATCAAGCACAAGCAAGTTCCAAATCCAAAGCACTCACCAGTGTCATAATGTCATTTGCCAAATCCCTGGCAAGATCTGGGGTAACGAAACATGATAAACCAGTCAAAGCAACTCCAGTATCATACTGATTTGGGCTGCTGAGGTCCTGTGAACATTGTAAAACTTGCCATTAGATTTATTAATGGTACTTCAAATAAAGAGTAAAGGTACAATTTTGCACCATAATCTGCACTTGTTTCGAATTGAAAAAATTGCAAACATCTCAAGTTACCTTACGAATCTGATTAGTTGTCAACATGATTACATCGGTCCCTTCATAAAAGCACTGAGAGGCAGTCAGATACCCTATTCTCTGCAATAAAGAAAAAAAACAGTAACTGAAAAATTTCTAAATTAGCATCTCTTCTAGTCATGCCCAATATTCAAGTAAACAATTAATTGACACTATTTATCAGCTTAGATGATTTTAGAACATCAGCACAGAACAGGATTTCCTTCCAAGAAAAAATAAAGTTGAAATAGATATCCGATGAGAAGTGGTGTACAGTCTGAATTCAAGCCCAGAATTAGATCACAACTTCTTGGAACCTTGCTAATCCTGCTGACCAAAATGGTTTTCATTTAGAATTTCCAAAGAAATTGCATAGTTGTAAATTTCCTGCACTTGTACACGCGGAGAAAGCTGCACTGCAAATTTCTCTCAGTCTGGAAGAGGAATGCAAGCTATAATTATCCAACTAATGGCCAACTATTTGGGGCGGCATGGTGGCGAGCACTACTGCCTCACAGCACCAGGGACCCGGGTTCGATTCCACCCTTGGGCGACTGTCTGCATGGACTTTGCCCATTCTCCTCCGGGTGCTCCAGTTTCCTCTCACAGTCCAAGTGTGCAGGCTGGGTGGATTGGCCATGCTAAATTGCCCATAGTGTTCAGGGATGTATAGATTCAGTGTTATTGGGGATGGGTCTGGGTGGGATGCTCCGAGGGTCGGTGTGGACTTCTTGGGCTGACGGGCCAAGAAAATTAGGAAAAGGATCAATTCATCATGTCTGTTCAGAGTGATGGGACCCATGAAAATCTAGTCTCAGTTCTGGTTGAAAAAAGTTAAATAAGGCTACGTGCATAAATTTGAAACAGAACAACAACAACTGCATCTTGATAGTTAACAATTTCCAAAACCTGAGGATAAAAGCATGTAAATAGACAATGTCTTATAAAGGTTACAGATTCCATTTTCACCAGGACGAGTGACAAAAATCACAAAGGTCCATTTTACGATTTGTTCCTCTGAAGTTCAAGCCACTGCAGCCACTCCATGACAACAGTCCCAAACCTGAAACTTGACCAGGGTGTTTCTAACCTTGAGCAATTGCAAGTATTGTATGGAGGTTTAAAAGATATTAAATGGATCTCAATCTTGTTCAAGGAAGTTCAAAACTGTGGGTCTGATGTATCCAGGAAGAGAGAGCCAAAGCACTACCAAAGATGATATCTGAACCAAGTTTTGCATCAAAACTTAGTTTCTATCCAGGAGAACAGAAGATGGGGCAAAATAAGGACACACAGTTGATGCCTAGGTCGTGATCATTACTTTGATTTCGGGTGATAACTAACAGAAGAAATCAGACAAAAAAAATCAAGAGGATGCACAAGAGTGAAAAAAAATGATAGACATGCATATTGCAAGGCATCACATTCATACGAACAGACAAACATAGCTATCAGGAGGAGCGGGTTATTAGGCTCATTGAACAGCAGAGCAGGTTCAAGGCTGCCACGGTTGTGTGATTATTCCACATTGCTGTCTGCTTTGATAACCTTACACTGATTTCTTATCAAATATCTCTACTTCTGCCTTAAGAAATTCCAAAAACAGTGGAAGCAGACGAATAAGGAAGAATGTTCCCAAGACTCATGACCCTTACCAAGAAAAAAATGTACAAATCTCTCTCAAACAAGCAATTCCCTATTTTGAAATAATAATCCTCAGTTTTAGTTTATCCCAGTACTCTAAACATTTTTTCCACGTGCATCCTATCAAGATTCCTCCGGATCTTAAATCTTTGCAATCAAGTTGCCTATCACTCTAACCTCCAATGGGTACAAGGCTAGCCTGTCCAACTTTCCACATTAGACAACCTGTGCATTCCACTAGTCTAGTACAGCTTCTCTGAACCATTTCCAAAGCATTTAACTCCTTCCTTATATAAAAGAAGGAGACCAAGTTTATGCACAGTATTCCAGTCTCACCAAGGATCTACATAATTAAAGAATGATCTCAATTTCTATATTCATTTCCTCTTATAATAAACACTATTAGATTTCCCAATTACTTGCTGTACCTGCATTTTAACATTTTGTAATTCATGCATAAGGACTCCCAGATCCCTCTGCAATCTCTCCAATTTTTTTTTTTATTCCTCTTGGCAAAATGAACAATTTTGCATTTTTCCATATTGTACTCCATTTGCCAGATCCTGATCCACTCACGGAACCTATCTATATCCTTCTTTAGCATCGTGTCCTCTTCACAACTTACTTTCCAGTACTCTGCCATCAACAAATTCAGCAAACATACCTTGAATCCTTTTCTTACCATTTGTTTGAGTGACTTAGATAAAATTGAGGTCACAACACCAATCCATGTAACAGCATTCATTTTCAGAATTCCTAGAGTGCAGATAGAAACCATTCGGCCCATCAAGCCTGCACTGACCCTCCAAAGAGCATCCCACCCAGACCCACCCTTTTCCTGTAACCCTTCATGGGTTTTTACTATGGCTGACTCACCTAACCTGTACATCTTTGGACTTTGGGAGGAAACCAGAGCACCTGGTGGAAACCCAGACTCCAGGAGAATGTGCAAACTCCATACAGACAATTGCCCAAGGCTGGAATCAAACCCGGGTCACTGATGCGGTGAAGCAGCAGTGCTAACCACTGTCAAGTGATAAAAGACCCATTAATGCTGTTCTGTTTCTTGTTAAAGAGCTACTCTTCTAGCCACGCTAAAATGTAGCGCTTAGAGCATGAATGTTTATTTTCCACATTAACCTTTGAGGTGACTCCTTTTTACATGGATTCTGAAAATTCACATACAGTACACATTGGAATTCTTTGAGAAAGTAATCAATTGGTCAAATATGATGTCCGTTTCTAAAAACCATGCTGACTCTGCCTGGTTACTTTCAACTTTTAAAGTGCCCCGCTGTAGTGTTTTAATAATACTTCCTAACATCTTCCTTATGATAGGTGTCAAGTTAACTGCCCTGTAGTTTGACCACCCTCTTTGGGAACAAAGAGGTTAGATTCATTACTTTTCAATCTTGTAGAACCTGCCCAAAATCTAGAGAAATTTTCAAAATTTAAACCAGCACATCAATTTTTGCACTTGCCACTGGTTATAAGACTCAAGGATAGAGTCCATCAGCACCCATAGCTCTACACAGCTCAGTACTACTCCCCCTGCAATTGTTATTTTATGGAGTCATGCAATTCTGCTCATAGCAATTTTTGCATGTTACTTGCACCTTCTAATGTAAACTGTTTAATTCATCTGCCATCTACATATTACCATTAATTCCCTTGGCTGTTTTTCAGTAAGGCTCTCATTTTGATAAATGTTTTCAAAAAATATCCGAAGATTCTCTTGGTTTTAACAAACTCTCACGTACTTAAATTGTGCCTTGTTAGTTAGTTTTTCTCTTTAGGTTTTTTCCAATCATCTGATTTGCCACCCATTTTGCTTGTATGGTCTCAAAGTCAGTCCATCACCCAAATCCATTCTCAGCATCACTATCTTAGGACATGTTCGCTACCTCTCTACTACATCAGCTGGATTCTTGATCTCTCAGTCATTGCCTGCGTAAGTGAGTTCTTAATTGTCTGTTACATATTGGAAAGAGGTTTGATCTGGCCACAAGCACAGACCAGTCATCATAATCACTAGCCAGTCTCACACTCCAATCTGACCATCTTTCACCCCTCCTTTTTTGTCTGATTCTTTTCTTTCACTTTTTTTCCAGTTTTCATTCATTTCTGCTTTTCTTTCCTTCCTGCTCTATTTCTCCTTACTTTGGACCTTTTACGTTGGAGGTACAGACTGGACTGAAGCTGGCAATGGGTGCAGAAGGAGATCCAGCCAAGGATGCAAGTGCTAGTACAGGAAAGGCAATAACAGATCAGACCAAAGACAGCAGGCACAGCATAAGGCACCATGATGAATGCTCAGATACAAGGAACTGCAAAAAAATTACAAATTTAATGAAAATTAACAAGTGCCTGTATTTCTGGAGTGAACTGGAAGAAACAGTTGATGCCACATAGGGGACAAAACAGACAGACTGAGAGTCCGGTAGACCACCATTTATTTCCAATTAAATCTGGAATACTCAAACTTGAAAATACATATGGTGAAAGTCAGCTTGGCAAGAGAAGAGCTATTACTTACTAGAATGAAACAATGGTACGCAATAAGCAAGACTCAAAATCTTGCATGTGCAAAGGAAGAGTTTCCATCGTACTCGTTAGTAATGCAATTTTCCCAAATTCACTTCAAATATTCAAGGAATTCCCAACACAAGTTCACCAATCTTCTACAATTTGAGAAACATCATATTGGAAGGCAGGCCTGGCCAGAAAGCTAGGCCGTGTCCATAATTAATCCAAGTGCAGCATACTTCCCCCAGTTGGAGACAGCGAGAACTACAGATGCTTGAGTCAGAGTCAATACAGTGTGGAGCTGGAGGAACACGACAGGACAGGCAGCATCAGAGGAGCAGGAAAGTTGACATTTTGGGTTTACTCCCTTCATCATGACTGTGGAGGGAGAAAGAGGCTTGGAAATAAATAAGGGGTGGTGGGGCAGTGAGAGGTGGGTGCATATAGTGGGTTGTGGAGATAGGTCATGCGAAGGTTGGGGAAAAAAGGTGAGAAAAAAGATGAACAGGTTCTGTCAAGGAGGTCAAGGAGGCAGATAAAGAGGGAGGGTTGGTTCGGAGATGAGGCTGGGGTGGGGAGAGGGGGCACAATGATTGGGGTGGTTTTGAAACTGGTGACTTCTATATTGAGGCCAATCGGGTTGTAAGCTCCCAAAAAAAGAGAAATAGGTGGTATTGTTCCTCCAGTTTACATGTGGCATCATTGTGACACTGGTGGTGGCCAGGGTGGACCTGTCACCAAGGGAGTGGGAGGGGCAGTTAAGATGGTTAGCAACTCTCCCAGTCATCCCTGCCTCCTTGTCCTGACACAACCTGCCCATCTTCTTTCTCACCTACCCAGGACCTATCTCCACAAACCCCTACCTGCATGCACCATCACCATCCCACCAACCTTCCCCCAGCCCCCGCCCCCCCCCCCACCCCCCCCCTTTCTTCCCCGCTCCCCTTCCCCCCCCCCATTCCTAAAGAAGGGTGTAAACCCAAAAAGTCGACTTTCCTGCTTCTCCGATGCTGCCTGACCTGCTGTGCTCCTCCAGCTCCACACTGTATTCCCCCAGTTGGATTCGTGGCCTTTCAAGGAGGGCCAAGCTATTTTGGTGCAAGTACACAAATAGGCATCTTTTAAATATATTTACGTGTTGAAATCTCTTCGATTTATGGAGAAATCCTTTTTCAAGAAAAGTAATTTTCAGTTATTTAAAATTGTCATCATGGGTGGATAGCATTTTTTAAGATACTTGTTTTGCAATAAACACATTGTCAGCTTCAAAAATAAAACTGCATCAATTTGCCATACACAGATCAGAAATACTTCTTATTCCTGGGAGTGAATAATAGTCTAAAACATTGCCTCATGGAGCTAAATCACAGAAAACTTGATGCTGGTGATTATACACAAGTTTCAGCAAAAACTTGAACTACAACTTCACCTGGAAAAACAATTCCATTTGAGTGCGAGGTGCTCCTGCAATGGATTTTCTGAACTAAGCCTAAGATTCTTCCCTCGCATGTAATGAGGCATGAGAACAAAGAAAATTAGAATACATTTCTCAGTTCATCAATTTACAACCGGTCATCAGTAAATCTCAAGCTGAATTCCCAGAAAATGTGTTATGATATTTGAGAAGTTCATAGCTCTAAGTTGTGAAGAATGGTCATTCATTTTGCCATATTACGATATTGTTCATTTATTAACCACACCACTGTACTGATCAGAAGAAAACATTCCTACCTTGAATGTAAACTTAGATGAACTCATTACTTCTATAATGTTGAAGGCAGCCCAGCTGATGTCATAACCCAGCATCTGCAGCTGTTTTGGAGTGGAAAAACATTTTCAACTGTAACAGCACTGTAGAATTCCTACTTTAAGATGGACATTCAAAACAATTACATGAAAACCACTAAGAAAATACCAAAAAAAATTATTTTTTTTTTTTAAGGAAGGTTCCACAGAATTATTTTTCTATTGTTCTCACAATGATGCACTTAAACCACAAGTTCAGGTGTCAGTCTCAACTTTACTAAGTTTAAACTTGTCCCACATACATTAGGTATTCACGACATAGCAAAACAAACTAAAGAGTCCCTCCTCCAGGATGTGTCACTCTATTTCAGCAACACATTCAAGTCTTAATTCTTGATCAAGATTTATTATCAGGGATCATTTATGCTGCAATCAGTGATGGTACAAAGCAAAATTCTCTATTTCATTCAAGTACAAGACAAAAGTATCTTCTTTGGTAATATTTTGGTACTTGGGCAGTAGTGCACTGGAATTAAGAGAACAAATTTCAATTACATGTTCCTTACTATTGTACCTCAAGAAAGAATTGACAAATGTAAAAAACAAAATAGCTACAACATAATCATCTTACAACTTGAACATACATGTAAAATTTGACCTAAAAGCCTGATTTATTCCAGCTGCATTGAACTTAACTGAATAAACATACATACTGCCGAGCACTCTGCACAATTTAATTTAAGTAGGATATTTCAAATTTGTGGCATTTTACTTACATATGCAAGCTTGATGACTGCATTGGCCTTTACTGCAATATTATCCTGCTTCAGCTCCTGCTTTATTTCATCAATACATTGTGAAATGTATTTGGCCTGAAAATTAAGAAACATCAACATATTGAATAGTTAAGCAAAACTGCTATCAGACAAGATTTTCAAAATTTACCAGGAAAAGCTACCAATATAATTATTTTTCACATGCAGATTATAAAATAACTCACTTTCATCAGTTAATACCACGAGACAAAAACTTCCACCAAAGCTTGCACAATGCAAGTGCCATTATAAAAAAATTCCAATTGCTTCTCTTAAAAAGAGACACAGACCAAATGAACACAACCGAGGGCAAGCACAATGTAATAATTAACATTGTATAGCAGTAACTGTCTACTGAAATCACTATCAGGTGGTTAACAGTACTGCTAATTCATTAGCCAGCGCAATTAGTTTTACTGTATGATATACAGCTCTTCCATTAGCACTAAATTGACAGAATGCTAAGCTGAAACACCGAATGAGCAGAAATTTCTTCCGCCTTAATACTGACAGGGTGGAAGCCATTTTCTTCATTGCCTGCTACAAACTCCGCTCCTTTGCCGCAGACTCCATTCTCTTCCTGGAAACTATCCAAGGCCGATTCAGACTGTTGCAACATTGGTTTTATACTCAATCCCGAGATGAGCTCCTGACCATATATCCTTGCCATTACCAACTTGTCCACTTCCAACTTAGGAACACAGCCATTCATTTTGCGGTCTCTGCTAATTTGTTGCTGAACTCTCATCCATATCTTTCTTGCCTCTTAACTTGACTATTCCAATGCACTCCTGGCCGATTTGCCACTTTCTACCTTCCATAAAGCTGAAGTCTCCGAAACGCCACTGTCTGTGCCCTATGCCTTGGTGTACAAATGAGCTTCATTATTCTGTGAAGCACTTTAGGACTCTGTGTTAAAGCTGCCATTCAAGTACAAATTGTTGTTGTTGCCTGTCTGAAATGCAACATTTAACTATTGAGTTCATGACTACTAGATTTCTGCAGCAGAGTGCACATCTAACATGACTGTCACAACAATAAAACAACTAAAAGGCAAGCTGTTATGTAGAGGGTGAATTTGGCCTCAAGTGCTCCTGGTTTCAGATTTTACTTCTGGCTTAGTCCGTCAAAACAAAAAAAAGGCACCTTACTTCAAAAGAACCATTTCAGTCAACCAGTTTCTGTTGCGAACAGGAACACATGCACAATTCAACTGAGCCAAGAAGTGGCACAACATGTGCTAACAACATATAGTTGACACTGCTGACTTCTGACAAACATGTCATTCAAGCATCCATCACTTATCAATGCAGAGTAGATTACATGCAGGAGAATGGTTAGGAGTAACAGAGAACGATCTAAAAAGTGCGATATAACACGAACGCACGGTTGTAGAGGATAAAATGATCTAGGGACTGTTTAGCCTGACATCCGCCGTAAGGAAAATGTAAGAGTCTGTTATGGAAGATTTAACAGTAGAGCACTTGGAAAACAGAAACAGGAATTGGACACAGCACAAAAGGGAAATCATACTTGACATCTGCTGAAATTTTTCAATGAGGTAACTTGATGATAAAGGAAACTCAGCGGATGTGGTTTACTTGGACTTTCAGATGGCTTTTGATTGGGTCCCACAGAAGAAATCAGGATGTAAAATTGAAGTGCATGGGATTTAAGGTAGTATGCTGACATAGATAGAGAACTAGTTGCCAGACAAGAGAAAAAAAGTAGAAATAAACAGTTTTTTCTCCCCCCAAGTGGTAGGCAGTGAGCAGTGGCACACTGAAGGGATCAAGGCTTGGACCCCGGCTATTCACAATATATATTCATGAAGTGGATGAGGGAACTAAAAATAATAGCTCTATGTTTGCTAATAACACAAAGTTGGATGGGTGGGTCAACTGCGATGAGGAAGCAGAGCTATTTCAGTAGCTAAGTTCAGGGGATAAATGGATGGCAGATGAACTAAGTGGATAAATGTGAGGTTATCCAATTTGGCAGAAACAGGAAGACAAATTATCTGAATAGCTATAAATTGAGATACGAGAATGCACAATGAGCCCTTCGTATCCTCATATACCAGTCACTGAAGATAAGCATGTAGGTTCAGCAGGTGGTAAAGGCAGCAAATGATATGTTGGCTTTCATAGCAACAGGATTCGAGTATAGCGCAGGGACATCTTGCTGCATTTGCATGGGCCTTGGTGAGACCATACCTGGATTAGTGTGTGCAGTTTTGGTCTCCTTATCTGTGAATGGATGTGCTCACTATGGAGAGAGGAGCATAATGGTTTACCAGGTAGATTGCTGGGATAGCAGGAATCACATATGAAGAGAGAGACCGGCTAAGTTACAATGATATTCACTGGAGCTCAGAAAAAGGAGGGGGAGGGGGTGCAGGGGAGACACAGAATCATCTAAAAATTCTAATAGGATTAAAAAGGGTAAATAGACCAAGGATGCACTTGACGACTAGGGAGTCCAGAACCAAAAATCAAAGTCAAAAGGATACAATGCGGGTCACTTCAGGTTTGATATGGCAAACTTGTTCACCCAAAGAAAGGTGAGCCTGCGGAATTCTCTTCCACAGAAAGCATTCAAGCAAAAACAATGGATCTTTCAAGAAAGATATAGATGTATTTCTTCCAGTTAAAGTGATCAAAGGGCATGATGAGAAAGCAGGTATAGGTACAGAGTTGGATGAACAGCCATGATCGTGCTGAACAGTGGAACAGGCTTGAAAGACCGAATGGCTACTCCTGTTCATATTTTTCAATGATTGACAGTTAATCTGTACTTGCATTGGAAATGTTTTTGCAAATTAAACAAAATTAGGAAATATTATTCCAATGCACAATTCTCTTTGGGCAATCCTCTCAGTAGGATTCTTCATTTTAGCATTTTCACTTTCACACAGCTTTCAGGATCTGGTCAGTAAAAGCAAGACAAACCTTGTCCCTCTCCTCTAGAGGTATTTTATGTCACCTGTACATCAGCCTCCTCAATCCTTTGCTACCGTTAGGGCACTTCATACATTAAATGCTAACTGAAACTCAAACTTCATAACCGAAACAGAAATTGCTGAGCAAACACAGCAGGTCTGGCAGCATCTATGGAGAAAAAGCAGAGTTAACATTTCAGGTCCAGTGACCCCGCTTCAGAACGGATTGTAAAGTTGGTAATAATGGTGAAAATAGGGTGGGAAGGGAGAGTAGGAAGGTCGAGTAAATGATAGATGGAGCTACATCCAGAAAGAGAACAATAGGGCAGACAAAAGGAGTGGGTAAAGGTGAGCCTGGGGGAATAAATGGCAGCAATCTGGGACCATTAGTGGTTTACAATGGGAAGGTAGTAGTCATAGCCCACATGATGACAAGGCCTGCTATGAGAGGGTCAGGGTACAGACATGGGAGAAGGTGCTCAGATTGTTAGAAATATTGAACTCAAAATTGAGTCCTGAAGGCTGCAGAGTCCTCAGTGAGATGCTGTTATTGAAGCTCAACTTCTCTAACTCCATTAATGCAGTGCACTGTATCTAAATCATCTCCAGAAGGTGACCCACCAAGCTTTAAATAAATCTTTTCAGCAAGCAGTGGGGCTAATGTATCACTTTTAGGAACAGCTTTATGGTACAACTGTTCCACGCAACACATTGAACACTACTTCAATATTCTGCGATTATAACATTTAAATGAGTATGCTGTCTCCTACACCACCACCCTTTCTTCATACAGAAGAAAAATTACCCAAGAACACCAACTCCAATTTCCAAAAACCATAAGGCCATAAGATTAGGACCAGAATTAAGCCATTTTCCCCATCAAATCGACATGACCGTTCAATAACAGCTGATATGTTTCTCAACCCTATTCTCCTACCTCCTCTCCCGCAATCCTTGACCACCCCCTTCCTAACAAAGAACTTATCTCTGTTTTAAATACACTCATGACTTGGCCTCCACAGTTCTCTGCGGCACTGAGTTCCACAGACTAACCATCCTGGCTGAAGAAATTCTTCCTCATCTCAGCCTCAGTGAAGGAGTGAGCCTTTAGAACTGTGCCCTCAGGTCCTAGTCCCACCACCAAGTGGAAACATCTTCTCCACATCTACTGTATTCAGGCCTTTCAGAATTCTGTAAATTTCAAGCAGATCCCCCTTCATCCTTCTCATTCCATCAAATACAGGCCCAGGGCACTCACTGCTCCTCATACGACAAACCCTTAACCCCCATGATCATTGCACTGAACTTCCTTTGGATCATGTCAATGGCAGCACATCCTTCCTTCGATACAAGTCTAAAACTTCTTAAAATATTCCAAAAAGCATAACCCCACTTTCACATTTGTTTTCTGTCTGCTACGTCTTTGCCCACTCTCCTAGCCTGTCCAAATCCTTCTGCAGCTTACCCACCTCCTCAACACTACCTGCCCCTCCACCGATCTTTGTTTCACCTGCAAACTTAGCAACAATGACCTCAGTTCCTTCATCTAGATCATCAATGCAACGCGAATAATTGTGATCTCAACATGAAGCCGTGTGGAACTCCCACCAGTCACTGGCTGCCATCCTGAAGACAATCCCTTTATCCCTACTCTCTGCCTTCTGCAGTCAATCAATCCTCTATCCATGCATTTAATATGCCCTTAACACCATGGGCTCTTAGCTTATTTACCACTTCCTGTGCAGCACTTGTCAAAGGGCTTCTGGAAATTCAAGTAGATCATGTCTACTGGCTCTCCTTTGTCTAACTTGCTCATCACCACCTCAAAAGAATTCCAACAGATTTGTCAGGCATGACCTCTCATTGACGAAGCCATGCTGATTCAGCCCAATTTTACCATGGACTTCCAAGTCTCCACAATCTCACTCTCAATAATGGACTCTAAAATCTTAACAACAGAGGTCAGGCTAATTGGCCTATAGTTTCCAGTCTCTGCCTCCCTCCCTTCATTATGGGGTAAACATTAGCCATTTTCCAGTCCTCTGGGACTCTTCCTGTCTCCAGTAAGTCCTGGAAGATCACCACCAATGCCTCAACAATCTCCTCTGCTAACTCC